TATCCAGGAGGCATATAATACGTGATATTTGATTAACTTATGGAAAGCTAGGGACATGGCTCATTTCCAAAGATTAATTATTCCAGTGGCATCTACCAATTTTTGCCAGCCCTGCTGTTTTCCTCTCTTTGAAATCCCCTCAAATTAAGTCATGTTTGGCCTTAAACTTCCATCTCCGAGCTCTGATGAATACATTTAACAACAATCCTTATACAGATAGTCCTTGACTTATGGCAACAATTGAGCCCAACATTTCTGTTGTTAAGTGGGACCTTTGTCAAATGCGTTTTGCTCCATTTTACGACCTTCTCTTGCCACAGTTGTTAAGTGAATCACTGCAGTTGTTAAGTTAGTAACACGGTTGTTAAATGAATCCGGTTGTCAGAAGTCACAAAGGGGGAATCACAAGAGCTCAGGATACTGCAAGGGTCACCTGAATTTTGATCCCCTCACTATGGGGATGCTTCAACTGTCGTGTGAAAAATGGTCATTAAGTCACATTTTTTCAGTGCCGTTGTGACTTTGAAAAGTCACTAAATGAACTGCTGTAAATCGAGAACCTCTGTACAAAGCAAGGCGGAAGTGCTGTTGAAAGTAGCATTTACTTCTGAGTAAACAAGGAGGCGTCTTCCGTTTGCCTCATACTGGGAGTCTCCACAGCATAATCAAATAGGACAGGGCTGAAACATGCAAAGGATGCCAAAGATTTAGAGTCCAAAACATGCTGCATCCATTATTCAACATAGCCCAGATTCTATTAGGCAATTTGCAAGTTCACCGAATGTACTGAACTCTCATTTACTTTTCAGGCTGTTATAAACTAAACATTATGCTAAGCCAGAGGCCGTGTTTGCACAGCACGCTGAGCCTCAGGAAAGAGTCCGTCCATTTTTTGCAAACCCTTTTCTCTGACTCTTACAGCCTGACTCACCATTTTTTTTTTTTCAAGTATAAATTTTTATTATTTTCATCATAAAAAAAACATCACAGGTATATCACAATGCTATAAAAAAGCCCCACCCCCCACCCCCCACCCCCCCGGACTTCCCAAACCTAATCCCAGGATGCTATTCAAATAAAAGTAAACTACTATTAATATCCCTAACTCCACAAAATATTATTCTACATAAGTAGGTGAAATATATATATAAAAAAAACAAGTTAACTAAAAACCTAAGTTATATTCCACCATTCTATGCTTTTTTTGAATATAAACAATCCATCTTCTCCATATTAATAAGAATTGTTCGTTTGAGTGATTCTTCAAATAAGCCGAAATCTTTGCCATTTCAGCAAGATACGAAACCTTCAATCTCCAGTCCTCCATTGTAGGTAGAACTTTACTCTTCCAATTTTGAGCTATCAACAAACGGGCAGCAGTTAAGCAATACAACATCAAGTTCGTTTCTTTTACATCCAAATTTTGTATGATACCTAGGAGAAACAACTGAGGCANAATTCTTCTTTTAAAAATTTGCTGTAAGTTCCACCACAATTTTATCCAAAAGGCCTTAATAACCTTGCAAGTCCACCACATATGAAAAAAAGTTGCATCTTGTTGTCCACACCTCCAGCACTTGGATTCATAATTCTCATAAATGCGAGACATAGTTGCAGGATCCATGTGCCATCTATAAAACATTTTGTAAAAATTCTCACGTAGGTTTTGAGCTTGCGTAAATTTCACATTTCTCACCCATATCAACTCCCAAGTGTCCATAGATATTGTTTCTCCTATATTTTGAGCCCATTTAATCATACAGTCTTTAACTAGCTCAGTTTCTGAATCCAATTCTAATAAAACGTTATATATCCTTCTGATATGTCCTTTAGCATCGTCCCTTACTTGTTTCAAAAAATTCCCATCTTCCATGGACAAAACAGTTTTTTTATCAATTCGCCATCTCTCTTGAATTTGTCTATATACAAGCCAGGAAAAGTCTGGATTTTTCTGTTTCAAAAGTTCTATTGATTTGAGGCACCAATTACCACTAGGACTCTGATATAACAAGTCTTTATAAGATGGCGCCTCCATCACCACAAATCTAGGTATAGTCAAAAAAATATGTGATGGTATCACCCAAGTTGGAAGTTTAATATCAAACTTAGAAAAATACTTTTGCCAAACTCTTAACAAAGCAGCCCTTATTATATGATTTCTAAAAGTTTTATCAATCTTTTTTTGCATAAAAAGATAGGCATGCCACCCAAAGTACAAATTCCATCCTTCAACATTCAATATCCTTTTGTTAGACAAATTAATCCAGTCCGTCATCCATGTTAATGCACAAGAATCATAATAAAGTGTCAGATTTGGTGCTTTAAGTCCTCCACGTTCTCTAATGTCTTGGATAATCTTAAATTTAACCCTGGCTTTCTTGCCTTCCCAGATGAAATGGTTCAAATCTCTTTGCCATTCTTTCAGATTAAGTTCATTTTTTAAAATAGGTATCATCTGAAATAAAAAAAGAAACTTAGGTAAGATGTTCATTTTGATGGCCGCAATACGACCCAGCAAAGAAAACTGAAGTTTTTTCCACATTAATAAGTCTTTTTGTACTGATTTCCACAATTTTTCATAGTTATTCTGGTAAAGTTTCATGTTAGAGGAGGACAAAAAAATTCCCAAGTACTTGACTTTACTAACCACTTCAAAACCTGATATTTGCGTAAGTTGATTTTTGTCTTTGGCCATCATATTCTTTGTAAGAATTTTAGTCTTGTTAACATTAATTCTAAATCCAGCCACCTTGCCATATTGATGCAGCACTTGCAACAAAGATTCCAATGACTCAATTGGTTGAGACAATGTAAAAACTAAGTCATCCNTAACTAGCTCAGTTTCTGAATCCAATTCTAATAAAACGTTATATATCCTTCTGATATGTCCTTTAGCATCGTCCCTTACTTGTTTCAAAAAATTCCCATCTTCCATGGACAAAACAGTTTTTTTTATCAATTCGCCATCTCTCTTGAATTTGTCTATATACAAGCCAGGAAAAGTCTGGATTTTTCTGTTTCAAAAGTTCTATTGGTTTGAGGCACCAATCTGACTCACCATTTCTGAGCAGGTGTTTTGCTTCCACAGAGAGTTTAAATGTCGTTTTATTGTTTGAGAGGTCAGCTGATGCTTCGGCTAAATTAAACCTTCTTTTAATTCTCTGCCACCACAACTAGGGTTGCCAGGTCTGCTTCCAAAAAATAGCGGACAAGCGGGGGGTGGGGTGGGGTTAAGTAGTAAAAAAAAGTAGACTGTACAGCTTTAGATTACGTACCATTTCATCGTAAAGCTTTTGAATAAAAAAAAATGTCCACTATTTTGTGGAAAAAAAAATAGTGAACATAATGTGAAAAAAGTGGACTGTCCACTCAAATAGTGGACACCTGGCAACCCTAATTCCACAACTCGAAAATCTGCGCTGGCTGGGAAAGTTGCTATATCCATTTTACCAGGAAGAAAGTCCCTGTGAATTTAATGGGCCTACTCTGAACATGGGGGGGAGTCTGGGATTGCTCTGGTAGAAACCATTATACAGTTCAACTTTCTTTATTCATTAGAGCTGGGCACGAGCATTTACTCATGAGGAAAAGTCAGAACCCATTTAAACTTTTACCCCTGTGTTATTTGCTTATTGTGTACTGACATTTCTTTCCTGCTGGCAGGGACTGGCGGACACTGCAAAATTAAACATTTTGAGGGCATTCTATTATAATTGTTACAGTGATGAGTCACAGAGCAAATTAACTTTATAATTTCTTATCTAGTCATTTCCCTACTAGAGTTTGGGACTCTGCAGACCCCATGATGTCGTCACAGGGGGTCCACAAGGCCTTGAAGAAATATTATGATTTAAATCTTGAGTCAAGTCTTGGGGGGCCGGGGCCATGGTTCATGGCCACAAAAGGTATTTAAAAGGGGGTCTGCGGTGAAGGGAAGGTTGAGAACCACTGGTCTAAACAATTGGGTTCAGTCATGCTAAGACATAAACCACAACTTGTAAACCACAATGGGAGAATTCAGAGGACATGCTACATCAACTCAAACAGAGCTCCTGATGGTTGGCGCAACATGTGAAGAAAATACCAAGAGGTCACAAGAGAAAAGTTCAACTGTCTCCCTTATCTGTTCTTGCCCGTTGCTTGTCCACCACCTTCACAAGGAAATCTGCCAGCAGGAAAATGACCCAACTAACCAACAGATCCCATCTCACAGTGCAAAACGGGTTTTGAATTCTCCATGAGGCTTATTCCCATTCAGCAACTTCCTCTTTTTAATCCTCTCATTTCTCAAATCAGAAAGACCGTGACAGCTGGAGCGAACTAATGGGATCACTGAAGATGGGCCATGTCTATCCATGGTGAAATTGGTATGAGGAGAGGGGGAAAAAAATGTCCGAGTAAGTTTTCTGGATCACAGCTCATTCCATCTTAGAGATGGTCTGTTTTTTAAAAAAAGGATCTGGGTTGCCTTGTTCATCTCTGCATTTTGAAATGTACGTACAAGTAGATAGAACAGGGGTAGTCAACATTGGCTCTTTTATGACTCGTGGACTTCAACTCCCAGAATTCCTGAGCCAGCTAAGCTGGCTCAGGAATTCTGGGAATTGAAGTCCAAGAGTCATAAAAGAGCCAACGTTGACTACCCCTGAGATAGAACAATTGAGGGGTCCTTGGTGCTCTCTGAGCTTGGTTGTTTTCTTGCAGATGTTTCATTACCCAAATTAGGTAAAATCATCCACATGATTTATTAGACATACTCCAAACTGTGTTGTGGGACTTTTGTCTACCAAAAGGGTGTGTTGTAGCCTAATAATAATAAAAAAAGTTGCATTTTGCACCCAGGGAATTTTTACTCATGGGCTACTTAGCAATATGTATATTTTGGTCTCTCCCCAAAATATTATAAACGATTACAAGACATAGGACGTTCTACATAATAAAAGGATAAACTGTACTTTAGTAGCATGAAATAAATACGTAGTAATTGATGGGGACTATAAATATTTTATTCATGTTGTCATTTTGCCAGCTTATCATAAAACACTACCTCGGTTTTCAATATTCATTCCACCAGTTTGACAGTACATGGGTTCAAGCAGTATGAACACACCAATTAATTTTTCTTTTCCCATTCTCCCCCATCCCAAAATTTTGAAAACCCACTTTGTCAGATTGCCAATTAACATTTTACTGCTAATTTCACGTTTCACAGGCTGGAGGGTTCAACTTATTAAAAATGAGAGTCAGAACAGCTAGTACTGTATAAGAAAAAAAACCAACAGTTGTTTACATATGTCTGAATACAAAGAAACAGCTCTGTCGATGCTTACAAAGACAGCCATTATAAAGGAGGGCAATGTTTAAGTAATATTTCTTTAAAAAAAGGTTATGTCCCTGTAGAAAATAATTAAAAAATTCTATGAAGGCAATGACTGCATTATAAGTTACTTCTTTTTTTAAAAAAATCTGTAAGACCACATAGTCAAATATATCTTAACACAATTATATAAACACCACATGACAAACTATAATATATATATTATATTATATCATATATATATATTTATGTATAGCGAATACATTCAGATGTGTTGTTCTGTTCACTGTGATTTTGGTAGAATTGGCTGTTTTTCGGTTCTCTCCTTCTCGACGCGCTAAAAAATGAAGCACCTTTTGGGAAGGTTTGCCTCCTGGAAATCACTGAGTTGTCATTTTTCTTACACACACACACACACACACACACCTTCTATTTTTTTAGGAAGATTGTGCTGGCGAGATATGGTAAGAGAAGCAAAGCCATCTGTCAAAGCTCAGAGATCTATTTGGGGCAGGGAGAGAATATTGTAGCTACGTCTGCAATCATGAGTCTAGCATGTTAGCAGTTATTTCTCAGAGATGGCTTCAAATCCAGTTGATCAGAGTTGTAGGCAGCACGCCTGATCATTGATAGCAGAGTTTGACTGTTGAGATCAGTGCACAGGGAGACGAATGCCTGGGGCTAAGTAGGGATCACTGTCCCCTGCCAATTCACTTGATCACTGTCAAGCTAAGACCATCAAAACACAAGGGGGAATGTGCCTATTTCCCAGCACAACGGTGTGCAATGAATCATATCATGTCATGATGTTGCGGTGGCGAGTATGCAGAGCTGAGGCTGGTGTTCTAGGCATTTGTGAATTATTCTAAATGATTTAGGAGGGAGAAGGAAGAAACGACTTTTCCACTTTTTTGGGGGGAAACGCAGAAAGAACATACATCTGCATTCCTCTTTGACCCAGCGTGACAAGTTGGCTAGCATGAGCGAAGAAGCTGAGACTACTCGCAAGACATGCCCGAGAAGGATTCCTATTGCCATTGGCCCTTTTATTTACGTATTGGCTTTTGGTCAAGATGCAGCAAACAAAGCGATCACGCTGTCTAGGACTTTAGTTGAGGTATGCTGTAGGGACCAAACGTGCCGACGACGGTGAAAGAATCTGAGTCGCAAGCTGAGGTTGAAGCCAGCATTAGATGAAGGTTAGGACCAGGGTGGGAATAGGAGTGGAAAAGGGAAAAGAAAAAAAGAAAGAAAAAAAAAAGGAAACTTTGCTGGAAGAAACTGGCACATTAGGAGTTCCAGATGGCAGATATTAAATGCTGGCTTAGCCAGCCAATAAGCATGTCCGACAGCAAAATTGTATAAATGGCTTGCGTTCACATAACCTATTGGATTTCACCATCTCACAGAACACCTCGTCACCTGGGGGAGGTTTGAAAAAAAAAAGGAAACAGCATGAAGGGAGAAATTAGATTAGCATTTCCGTTGAACAACCAGGATTTATAAGAGTAGGAAAAAAAAAACCTATTCTGATGGACGAACTAAAAGGAACACAGTGTCCCATTATTTTAACGTCTATTTTTTCAAAAGACATCTGTGTTCCTCAACTTAAGACCACTATTGACCCCCCCAAATTTTTGTTGCTAATCAAGGCAGTTCTCAAGTGAATTTTGCCCCACTTTATGACCTGCTAAGCAAATCATTACACTTGTTCAGTTACCGTAGTAACACGGTTGTTAGGTGAATTTGGCATCCCCCTTGACTTCGCTTGTCAGAAGATCGCAAGAGGTGATCACGTGACTCTGGGGACATGCAACCGCCATAAATACATGCCAGTTGCCAAGTGGGCGGATTTTGATCACCTGACCGTGGGGATGTCGTAACGGTCATAAGTGTGAGAAACGGGCGTAAGTCACTTCTTTCAAGGCCGCTGTCACTTTAAATGGTCATTAAATGAATAGTCGTAAGTTGAGCACCACCCTCCCACCCCTGGCCAAACTTTGTATATATTCTGAGGTTGTTCTAGCTTAAGAAAACCATGGAATAGGAAGGAAGTGTAGGGTCCCAACCCTTCCCCCCCCTCCAATCTTTCAAAGTTCCACCCAAGTCACCAGCCAACGATCATTTTTAAGTTGATAGAAGGAATATCATTAAACATTTGGGGAGCAAACATGTGAACAGGGTTTAGGGTAAATATAACAATGCAAAATTCCTTCTCCCTCTCTCTCTCTCTCTCTCTCTCTCTCTCTCTCTCTCTCTCTCTCTCTCTCTCTCTCTCTCTCTCTCTCTCTCTCTCTATCTATCTATCTATCTATCTATCGTCTGGTCCTATCTTTGTCTAATTGTCAGAACACATCTCCAGCACACCATTCGGAGGCCAAGGGCAGCCAGCAGTCTCTGAAAAACATTGTGCCTCCCTCCAACAGAAAAACGTAAGATGAGGGACTGACATTTCACTGAATAATGTCAAAAGCGGGCATAGTGCAAATGAGTTCCTACTGTTCTCAGAAGGTCTGATGGGATCCCACCACTTAAGAAGTGAAAATACACGATCAAAGGTGCCCTAATGAGTTCATTTTGGTCTACACGTTCTCATCACAGTTGTCAGGCTTCCGGAGAGCAACTGGGTTAACCAGGGCTTGAACTACTAGACCTTCTGCACACAAAGCAGATGCTCTACCTACTGAGCTACGGGTGCCTCCCGTAGAATAATTATATTGCAGCATTACAAAAACTACAAAGCAAGTGCAGCAGGTTGAAATATAATCACTCTATCCACCCAGCCCAGCAGTGAAGGTGGGGTAAAAAAATAAAATGCAGATTCCTCCTAACTGCGGCAGCATGATTCTAATCACTCAAATGGACTACCAGCCCCTCAAGTCTGCAAAAAGGGACTGTATTTAAGAATGAGCAATTGACATTTAATGTCTTGTGTGGCTTTGAATATGCAAATGATTCCCCTCGTCCTTCAGAAGCTGCAGCAGCAGCTCAGGACAGACTGACATCAAAACAAGTTGCGCTGCTAGCTCTACCTGCTTGCTTTCACATCACTAATTCTTCTCCATCCGTGCCCCTGACCCCAATTTAATCCCAGTGAGCTTCACTATATATTCCATAAATAGCAAACTTCAGCCACAAAAGCAGTTAAAATTGCCTTCCTCTTCGATGCACGCAAGAAAAAGAATGAGGAGCATCTGGTTGAAGAAAAGGATGAGAGTCTGGGGAAATGGAGGCATGCAGATCTAGTAATGGCCTGGCAATTCTTATAGCCCCAGTTCATTCCCCCCCCCTCTTAATCTGCTCTTCATTTTGATACTAAACCTCTGATTCTGTTCGAACTGCAGCATTCTTCCCCCCCGCCTGTTGTTCACCACCAAACCCCACACATTCAAAAGGGAAGGGGATAACTCACCGAGGCCAGCTCACCATGGAACAACTCGCTGTGGGACAATTCAACATTCAATTTAAGTATTTAAAAAAAAAATTAAAAAATATGTTAAGTTTTGTTGTTCCCATTTCATTTTCTCCCTCTTTTCTTTAATGATTCTGTTCCACCATTTCCTTGATATTAGTGGTACACATGCCTTGTGGCAAGTTGTCCCACGGCAAGTTGTCCTGCAGTGAGTTAGAATTAGAATAGAATAGAGCTAGAAGGGACCTTGGAGGTCTTCTAGTCCAGCCCCCTGGCTCAAGCTGCTCAAGTTGGCCACGGTGAGTTGGCCGTGCTGAGTTTTCCTAGACCCCTTTCAAAATGTCTCCTCTTATGGCTACTCTTACTCTTACATTCCACTACCTGTAGCCACATGCCCAACAGACACTGTTTCATTTGCTAAAAATCCATTAAAAATACATACCATTGTGACATCTGTCACTAGCAATGCACGTGCCACTCAGCAGATAAAATCCTTCTTTACATCTGGAACAGTTTCTCCCAGAGCTATCACAACTTAAGCAGTTATCTTCACACCTGACAATAAAAGATAACTATTTGATAACTAGTGAGACATATCATTTTAATTTAAGGACGGGTGTGAAATCACACATTGCTTTAATTGCGGTTTGTTCAATAAGCCACCATTGGTTGGGTTATGCAACAAACTAAAGCACAAACCAAAGTGTAATGGTTAGGTTTGTGCATGCTAAGCAAATATAAACCGCATTATACAGTTCAGAGCCATGCTAGTTAATTTTTGCTTAGCATATTGAACCCAATCACTGTGGTTTATTAAAAAAACTAGGTTATTCAAATAATACGTTACATATTCCTAGAAGAACAATGAACAAAGACTAACTGATACCCATTTCATAATTCCACCTATTATTCGTCTATACATTACATATATTTTTGACTATTATTTGTGTCTCTGTCTTTATCTGGATAAAGGCTAGGTTCAATCATTGCAATAAAATATGGTTGGCTTAATTATAGTTTATTGAATGAATAAGTGGCTGAGTTTAAACAACGAGCAGTCAAAAGAAGTTTAAATCATATTTTGGCTTGCATCAGTATAGAAACCCAGTCAGAAATTTCTAAAATTCAAGGTGCTCTTTCTTCTGATACTGACTTAAGTAAGTTTTCTACTTTCTGATACAACTTTTAAAAAAGAGAATATTCCGAGAAACCTGAATCAGTTAGGCTAAGTATTTAGGCAGCTTTCAGATCAGGAATGAAATATTTTGGGGGGCTGAATTTCCAGAATAGGACCTATTTTGATAAAAGTAAAGAAGTTTACACATCTGTGTTTGAGTTTGTTTGCTTTAATAAAATGATTTGTAATGGTAATTTTAGTTAGAAAAATGTGTTGGTAATGGAAGTATCCAGCTGCACACAATTCAGCACCCAGATCTATAGCAATAGCATTTAGACTTATATACTATCCCATAGTGCTTTACAGCCTTCTCTAAGCGGTTTACAGGGTCAGCCTCTTGCCTCCAACAATCTGGGTCCTCATTTTACCAACCTCGGAAGGATGGAAGGCTGAGTCAACCTTGAGCCGGTCAGGAATCAAACTTCTGACAGTGGGCAGAATTTGCCTGCAATACTGCATTCTAACCAATGCGCCACCACGGCTCTACCTATATGCCCCATTAAAAAATAGAAGCTACTTTAAAGCAAACCAGTTCCTTCTGTCTACACCAGCTTTCCCAACCTGATGTCTTACCTCTTGGCCTTGCAGGAGAAAGCAGATAGGAATCTCAACAAGATGCACCAATTCTATTTTATAGTAAAACTACATTGGCAGAAACTTGCAAGTATGAACGTACCACCACCTCCCCCTGAGATACTAGGGAGGGTTTCTTGAGAGTCTTTTTCTCCACCCATTACGCAGCAGTGGGCTCTGCTGTTTCTTATCTGACCATTTCCTTAGCAGCCTCTCTTTGCCTAATCTCCCATGGTCTTTCCCAAGCACCATTACTCTACCAAACGGTTGGGATTCCAACATCCAGATTTGCAAGCCAGGTGCTGATTAAGCTTCTCGGGTTTTTTTTCTTCTGGGCCCTGAAAATGGGAATTTTAAAGACACAAACCCCCTGAGCGTTATCCTTTGTAGAGGAAAACATTTCATAAAAGATCCCTTAGCAGCCTAGCGCCTCCCTCCACCTGCATCTTTTGTTCGGGGAGCAGATGTTGCAGGAAGTTAAGGAGGGCCAAAATCAAACTGACGAGCAGGTGGGGGGAACTGGCCAGAAGGAAAATCAAGATTCCAAATTTGCAGAAGGAGCTCTAAATGGCCTTCTTGTGGAAATATCCAAGAAGTTAAGGGTCTTGTTTTTGTTTTTTTTTCCTCCCTCCGTAAACCTCACAACATCGGAGCGTCAAGACAGAAGATTTATGTGTGCAGCATGTCAGAGCAGATTACACAGCAAGGGTTCCAGCTCACTCCCAGACCATTTTTATAAATGCCTCCGCAACAGGCTGCCAAAGCAGATAATTACCTTCGGCAGACTCTAAACGGTGATCCCAGCCGCTCGTCCTGGTAATAGCCTTCTCCACATGTCGAGACACACCTCCATTCGTGGAGCTTCCTGGCGCACTGGAGACATTCTTCATGGCTTGGCCCTAAGGATCATGGGGGGAAAACATGGTTCTCCAGTCAGGAAAGTTGCAGGTGCAAAGTGAGGGGTGGGTAAGGGGGAGGAATTTTATTTATTTATTTATTAAATGTATATGCCACTCGTCTCGCTCTGCAAAGCGATTCTGAGTAGGAGTTGCTAGATTCTTTAGAACAGAGGTCCCCAACCTTTTGGGCATCATGGAGAGAGGTTTTTCCGTGGATTAGAGGATGCGTGGTTTTGTGTGTTGCCTGTATCCCGTGGATGGGGCTTTGCTTGTTTGTGTGGACCGGTTGCTGGCATGCCGTGACCGGTGCCGGTCCACGGACTGGGGGTTGAGGACCCCTGCTTTAGAACTATGCAGAAATAGAACATAGAATAACAGAGTTGGAAGGGACCTTAGAGATCTTCTAGTCCAAATCCCTGCTCGAACAAGAGACTCTATCTGACCATTTCAGACAAATGGTTGAAGCCTCCAATGGTGGTACACTCACAACTTCTGGAGGCAAGCTATTCCACGGGTTGATTGCTCTCACCGTTAGGAAATTTCTCCTTGGTTCTAGGTTGCTTTGATATGATTCTCCCATTTGATATGCTTTGATATGACCCTCTGTCCCACTGGTGGCCAAGAAGTATCCCTCTGTGAGACATTCATTCTTTAAAAAGAAGGTGCATCCATGAACAGCCTAGGCATTTTTGGTGGGATAACATCAAAATGTAGCATAAGCCACAACCGTTGCCATTTTTTCCAAACAGAAAGAAGACTTTTTTTAGTTTCTCATCTGCAGGCAAAGAAACTCTGAAAACAGCTTTATTTCACACCAGAGGAATGCAATGAAAAGCTGGCAAGTGCTACTCTTAGCAGATCTGGAGGACGGGGTCAAGGGTTGGAGTGAGCAAGAAGATGATACCAAGTAGAAAGACCTATGTCACATATATATGACAGGGCCAAGAATAATTTTGGAGAATAGTGTTTGAGTGGGAGGTGAGAAGTTCCCCTTCACACTAGGGAAAAAAAAACCACCCCGAATTGATTCTCTGAAGGCAGGAGGACTCTGGTTGACAGTAGGATGACCCCCCTCTTTAATTATCTGCTGTTCTTTCTCTAACTACAAGATATGAGGGTGCAATGAACAGAAGCTGGTGTTTCAGAAAAAAAATAATTCTGCTTGAGAATATGGAACCACTTACACATGAACATGTGGGTACTGGAGGCTAAAACATAAAAGGAACGGCTGCTGGAATTGGGTATGTCTAGTTTAATGAAGAGAAGGACGAGGGAGGACAGGATAGCAGCCTTCCAGTATCTCAGGGGCTGCCCCAAAGAAGAGGGAGTCAAACTATTCTCCAAAGCGCCTGAAGGCAGGACAAAAAGCAACGGGTGGAAACTAACCAAAGAGAGAAGCAACCTAGAACTAAGGAGAAACTTCCTGACAGTTAGAACAATTAACCAGTGGAACAATCTGCCTCTAGAAGCGGTGAATGCTCTAACACTGGAGGTTTTTAAGAAGAGACTGGACAGCCATTTGTCCGAAATGGTATAGGGTTTCCTGCCTGAGCAGGGGGTTGGACTCGATGACCTCCAAGGTCCCTTCCAACTTTATTATTATTATTATTATAAAATCAGGGACATGTCAGAATTTGGATTGGATAGGGATTGAATCTTGGGAATTTAGAATTTTTTTGAAGTTATTTTAGACCGCGGCTAAACTTCCTGGAGAGAGGAGACATCCAGTTCTCAGTAAGCCCAATCTTGCCTGAGGGTTGCATGTATTTGCTGCTAAATTATTGCTTGTGGATTTTGAAAAGAAGGCTCCAGATGTTTGCCATGTAAGATTGAAGTTCTGACACTCAACAGCTCTTTTGAACTATAACTTCTTACACACACTGAATGCTGCCCATTAAAACTCATGAAAAGGCAAGATTTCTTTCTTTAAAGCAGAAGCACAAATTTTAATACTCCAAAATAATAAAAAAGACAAAAGACAAAACCAGTATTTTGTAAACATAATGGAACAGAGCATATATCAGGAACCACTTTCTCTAATTAAATCCTAAATAAAAGTTCAATTTCATTGAGGTAATGCTCAGAACAGGTACTTTAAGCACCACAAAATGCTTAAAGAATCCAGATTTTCTTGACAAGTCAGAAGTAATAAAGAATCAATTGCTCTTCCTTGAGAGTTGATAGGACACTAACAGCCTCAAGTTGTTGGACACAAACTAAGTTTAAAAGATATAAGCCGGATTAATACATGCTAAGCCAAGGATTGCTTAACGATAGTTTGTTGAATAAATCACTACTGGCTGAGTTAATACATAGTGCGATGTTTATCAACCATGATTGCAGTTGTTTTCACATCTCAAACAAGTATATGTGATGGGCAAATTGATGTCAGATGTTGTCCTATGCATTAACTAAATGGCTCTTATGCTTTGTTTTACAATTCTCTCTTTTTCTTGCAGTCTAGTATAAATCCTGGACCAGGTGATGATAACAGAATAACGGAGTTGGAACTTTGGAGGTCTTCTAGTCCAACCCCCTGCTCAAGCAGGAGACCCTATACCATTCCAGACAAGGGGCTGTCCAGTCTCTTCTTAAAAGCCTCCAGTGATGGAGCACCCACAATTTCTGAAAGCAAGCTGGTCCACTGGTTTATTGTTTTCACTGTCAGGAAATTTCCCTTTAGTTCTAGGTTGCTTCTCTCCTTGATTGGTTTCCCTCCATTATTTCTTATCTTGCCTTCTGGTGCTTAGGCAAATCACCCCTCTTCTTTGTGGCAGCCTCTCAAATCAACTTGAACATTCTGAAATCCTAGCACGATGGATCTGCCACCAAGAATGATTAGTGAAGGCTACATTTTCATGACACACTCAGAATGAAACCTTAATTACCAGACTAGGTATACCTCACCTGGTTTGGGGGCTTTTAGTGGAAAAAAAACCCTACTTAATTCCTTCTTATTTCTCCTCTCCCTCACCTGCTAGTTATTGATTTAGATGAAGCGTATCTAGAGACCTAGGTGATTGTTAATCTACCTGTACAAGTCCTGCAGTCCGACTGGCAGCCATCACATTGCAAAAGTTCCTTTTTCAGATACATGCCCTGCTGGCACCCTGAAACACAGTTGTTGTCCATGAGGCTGTAAAGGAAAGCGTGGAAAAACATTGATAGCAAAATAGAAAAGGGGAAAAAAACAACACGTTTTAGTAATAGAGCTTAGATAGCCGAAAATCTTTAGGAGAAAGAGTAGCTAAAGATTAGGAGGAGCTGCTAATCCAACAAGCTCTTTCACTAATCAGGAGACCGTCTGTTCAAAGCATCTCTCAGATTTATCTTCTCATCAGTTGGTATGGTCCATTTGCTGGACTTGCACGATCCCTGCACAGGGAACCACAAGCTCACCAAATGGTTCATGAAACTAAAACACAGATAACACCCCAACCATGCTTAAAAGCTCTACGAAGTAGTATGTAAGTTTAAGTGCTATTGTTATTAAAGTTGGGGAAAAATGCCTTATGTATCCATGTGGCACATCCACTGTATGTGTGATTGACAGCTGACTCTCATGACAAACCACCTGCTTTCTTTCTTTCTTTTTTTAAAGAAGACAGGAACATTGCTGGCAAAATGTTGCTAAGCCTAAAAGGTGAGCGAACAATAAAAGGGAACACTGTGCAGACAGCAGCCAAGGGAAGCTACTTTTGCTGACCCCATGCATTGGTTCATCTTCTGAGTTATAATTTTCAACTTTTGCCCAAGTGCCATTATTGAAGCAGTCACGTCAGTCCAATTACTATCTTCTCAATGAATCCTGCAAAGAAGCGTTGGGCTTCCCACTGAACAAATTGTTCAGTTCAGCCTTTTGGTGTCTGACATTTTTTTTGCTTCCTTGGGAAAAAAAATGTATATTTCTATCCCATCTTCCTCGTTTCATTTGGGGCTGCCTTGCATTATTTGTTTCTGAAGCTAGCCAAAATAATTTGGGAGCTTTATTATGCGGACTTGAAGGGGGAATCATCAAAATAGCGTTTACTCCAGTAACAGGAGGGCAGGTTTGTCCATCAGAACAAAGGGGAATCACAGCCAGGAGTTGATTCCTCCCCACGGAAAGAAAAAAAAATGCCCAATGGTTGTGGAGATAATTAAAGAATGAGCAGACAGGGATTAATATGCCTTCCTTGGTGTCCCTCAGGTGTCCTGTTCAATTTGTTGTTTCACATCCCAGTGATTTAAAAATAATTTAAATGAAAAGCTCCCCTTCTAAAGAGGGAAGCATTCTTAGATGTGAAAAATGATGGATAGCTTCATCCCAAGACGTTCTCCGGAAGCATGTCCAAGAGAAGCTGGAGAGATGGGAGAGAGACCCACTAGAAACTGAGAAGATCTAGCAAGGCATCATCTTGTTAGTTCTGATTCCTGGCGGGCACCACTGGATGCTGTTTTCTTAGCAACAGTACGGCAGTAAAAAAAAATACATGATTGCCTTCTTTTGGGATTTCCTGATGGTCTTCTGACTAAGTTCTAACATGAGAAGTGAAGTTGGCAAGACAGAAACCAATGATTCTCAGGCCAAGGAGAACAATTAAGTAAACATGAAGCAAATATCTCCAGCACTGAAGCCCAAGAATAGTCAAGAACCCATTGGCTGAAAACAACAGAAGAAAAGACCCAGGACTGAAAGCTTGGGAGTGACATATATATGGCTTGACCTCCATGTTTTTTTGAATGGGCAGATCTTCTACCTGCATACATCTTTCTTCTCAGCAATGACAAACTTATCTATCAACGTCAAGTATGTTAAGCCTGAGTTGCCTACTGGAAGTGGAACTGAGTTTGTGAAAAGCTGAAATTGATTTCCATCTCTGCTCTGTTGACTACCTAGGGCTTCAGTCCTGCTTGGTCTCCAAGACCAGACAAGGTCAGCCAACTGCTAGCAGCAGCTGAGAAAGTCTCCCTCGCAACTGATGGATATTTTGTATTTAGCTATGCCATCCTAAATGGCCATTTACTGAGAACGCACATAATAGTTTCTTTCAAACCACTAAATTTACACTGATCCAAAAAAGATAATCTACTCCTACAATAAGCAATGTGTATCCTGCCTCCATCCATCAGCCCTCTCTCTCTCTCTCCCCCCTATAAGCCACCTCAAACACCGTCCATGTCCTCTCATCTAAAGAGAGGGCATAAATATATAGGAGCTGCCTGCCAAAGTTCCTCTGCATCAATTTTTACTTACTAAAATGTGTTCTCGAATGCCACTTTATATCGTGCGAAATCGCACTTCCCTTATTTTATAGAAATTTGTTACTTGGTGCTGGGAATTGTCTATAAAAGTTTAAAACCATTTCCAAGTATACACCCAAACTAGACTGTGTTGTTTCTCTGGGTCATATATGTGTGTGTATGTCGGTAAATGCATAATTATTATTATTATTTTGTCATGTTTATGCAGTGTATATTGGAAGTGGTTACCCTTTGAGAGCTGTATGCAATGAAATCACTTTAATGTATGCTGATTAATGTACATTTAAAGTGTACAGTCAAACTACTGTGATGTTTCTGTGTGTCATATATGTGTGTGTGTGTGAGTATATGCATAATGCTATTTTTTGAGAGCTGCATGCAATGACATCTCATTTTAATGTACGCTGATTAGTGTACATTTAAAGTGACTATTCTATTCTATTCTATTCTATTCTATTCTATTCTATTCTATTCTATTCTATTCCATTCCATTCCATTCCATTCATACACCTGAATGTATCAATGGCTCTATCAGAGTCAGGAAATATAGAGCTAAACCCTTTTGTGCCTTCTGATGAAAATTGTCCCCAACCCAAAACCTACAACAAATGTTATCAGCAGTGAGGAAAACAAATCTTCCTCTTTGGAATAATCTGTATACTGCAACTATTTGCAAATTTTCTTGTAAACGTGAATTGGAATTCTGGGATTTTCATCCAACGTTACTAGAGAGAGAGATTAGACAAGACTGACATTTGAAATGATGGGAACACATAAACTGTAAATCACATCACATACCCCTTTGTGATATTTACAGGAGATCCAGGAAGGAGGTCAACAGTCCATAACAATTTTTGGCATCTCCCTTTCTTTGTTCAATCAGCTGAAACTGAAGTGTTACTGTAGTTTCTAGCAACGGGTTACAATAACTTCTGAAACCCTTGCGTTGTTTCTTTCACCAGCTACTACTCACCTGAATCCATCTTTGCAAACAGAACATTTGTCCATTTCTCCAAAGCATTTCTTACAGTTTTGATGACATTTCTGACAACGTCTTTGACCTTTTCAGGGTAGGGAGAAGAGGCCAAAGTGAAAAGGAATTCCAGAAATTAGGAACGCGTAATTGCAGATGTCACATTTTATGACTTACACAGAATTTAATGGCAAGTTAAACCACCTGGCACTGAACAATAAGGGTACTTTTTTTAAAAAAAAAAAGAAAAAAATTAGGCTGGATGACAGAAATAACTACGGTAACTAGTCATTTCAACTTAAAATATATCACTTCCTAGACCTTTTCATTTGGGAGAAATTCTCAACTTTGGCAAGCCTACCTTAAATGTTCAAAACCCAAGTCAATTAATTTAAAATGCTGGTTTTAAAGCCATTGATGCTTTTCAGATTTTATTGCAAAGTTTCCGAAACATTCCTCATCCCATCTCAGACTGGCAGGAGATTAAATCAATGTCTTGATTAATAAGGTTAAGCAACACTTTCTATCTGAATCCAGCACGTTGCTGCATAGCATATAAGGACATGGATGGTGGATATGTAACTCTTTAAAGGAGCTGCATCCTCAGAATATACTTTAAAAAGCTGCATATAGATATTATATATTGACATCCCTGCAAGCCAACTTTTTGGCGTCAAATCCATAGTACTATTCAATCCCATTGATTAAATTAGTCTAGTTGCATCATTTGGGATTCTTCATTTGCAGTTAGAAATAGCATTTATTTAAATGCTGGATTCAGTAATCCTGCAGCATGTCAATCAATCAACCCTAGTTCTCCTTGATCAGTCCCCAGATCTCCTATTTTAATCAGTGAGGAACAATTGTGGGAGGGAAAACTGCCCAGGTTAACCCAACATGCTAGCTAAAACACACTTCTGCAACAATATGTGTATTTCTCGAAACGTTGTCAAAGCACTTCGCCTGTCCAAATTGTGCACATTAGGGAAAATTGCTTGCAAAAGCACTAAAATAAATAGAAACTGCCCTTTGTGCTGGCAGAAAAAACAACAAAAACAAAAAGGAAACTGACGCAGACCTGAAGCAGAATTAGTTTCAGATGGGAAAAGGGAAACATGTCACAAAAAGCACCTTTTCCAGCTACGTATTAAAAGGCATCAACTGAAGAAATAAGGGACAGCTCCATTTATCAAATGCATATACTAGCCAGACGGATGTAAGATGTACATTGGGATGAGTGAGGGCAGGTGGGGTGAAGGAGAGGAAGACAGGTAGATAATGCAGATACTTATTTAGATCACCCCTTTATTATTTTTATATATAATTCAAAGTGGTGGTGATACTTAATACTCCTTCCTCCTCTTATCTTCCCTCCAACAAGAACCCTGTGAGGTGAATTGGGCTGAGAGGGAGGGACTGGCCCAACCAGTTTTCGTGCATAAGGCAGGACTAGAGCTCACTAGTCGTCTGGTAATTGGCTCAAGCCAGCTTTCATGCCTAAGGCGGGACTAGAACTCACCATCTCCTGGTGACTGGCCCAAAATCATCCAACTGGCTTTAATGCCTAAGGCAAGACTAGAACTCAAAGTTTCTAGCTTGTACTTTAACCGCTAGACCAAACTGGCTCTCAGTGTAGGTTACATATGCATAGCCAACCTGTCTTGCCCTCTGCCTGACCATCTTTCCGTTTATCCATCCATCCATCCATCCATTCATCCATTCATCCATCCATCCATCTACCCTATCCATCCATCTACCCTATCCATCCATCCATCCATCCATCCATCCATCCATCCATCTACCCTATCCATCAATCCATCCATCTACTCTATCCATCCATCCATCCATCCATCCATTCACCCTATCCATCCATCTATCCATCCATCCATCCATCCATCCATCCATCCATCCATCCATCCATCCATCCATCTACCCTATCCATCCATCCCCCATCTCAACCCCAATGTAAATCCTACATCAATCTAGCTACTCCATAAATCCGGTGAGATGAAATGTAGCTCATGAAAGCTTGTGCCTTTTTTTTTGAAAAAAATGTTACAGATAGTCCTCGGCTTACAACCACAATTGAGCCCCAAATTTAGGTTGCGGTGTGACAGAATTTGTTACGTGAATTTTGCCCTCCTTTACGACCTTCCTTGCCAAAGTTGTTAAGTGAATCGCTGCAGCTGATAAGTTAGTAACATGGTTGTTAAGTGAATCTGGCTTCCCCCATTGACTTTGCTTGTCAGAAGGTCGCAAAAGGGGATCACCTGAACCCGGGACACTGCAACCGTCATAACTATGAACCAGTTGCCATCTGAATTTTGATCACGTGATCATGGGGATGCTGCAAAAGTCGTAACTGTGAAAAATGATCATAAGTCCCTTTTTTCAGTGATGATGTAACTGAATGGTCACTAAATGGACTGTTTTACGTCGAGGATTACCTGTACTTGGAAAAGATACTACCAGAATCCTATTTTTTGTCACCATAGACGGACCTGTTTCCCTCCTACAATGTAGCAAAAGCAAAATTGATTGATTTTTCCCCTCCCTAAGCAGGACAACAGTCAATTAGTGGAACTACAGATTGAGTGCAAGCATTAAAGGTTTTAGAAGCTATTTCACTTTCGGGGAAGGATGAAAACAAAACCGCTTCTTAAAGCCAAAGTTGCTACAAAGACTTCAAGCTTTTGTTTAACGTGCTGGAAAGTCTTATGCTCTTCCTTCAATTTTATGAGAGCTTCGGGGGTAGCTTTGGCAATCTGAAAAATGTGAAATCAATTAAAAGACAAATTATTTGATTTAAAACTATTACGGCTCTTAGTTAATGTGTTTTTATATTGCTGCTAATGATTGTAACTCTAGAATTGTTTTGCAAGAGATCAACTAAAGTACACTAAGATGAATGCAATTAAAAATACATAAAAATAATTGGGACGGTGGGAGGGAGGGACGAAGGCAGGAAGGCAGGAAGGAAGGAAAGAAGGAAAGAGGGAAAGAAGAAGGAAAACAGAGACAGTGCAGGACTCATTCATGCCATCTTCATGAAAAGACACCTAAAATGTTATAATAGGAGAGAAACCATTGTAGATTGTACTGTAGATGTCACCTCAGGGAGAAAAATACATTTCCACCCCCCTTTCTTACCGTCATCAGAGTAAAATCCAGCTGGACACAGCATCACACAAGTGTTTGTCTCTTGGTGGTGATAATAACCACGCTTGCAGGCTGTGCATGAGTTCTGGCTTCTGCCCAAACATGCTTCACAGCCCCTGTGACATCTGCGGCACTTGCGTTGCAGACTGTCCCCAAAGAAGCCAGGAGGGCAGGAGTTCACACACTTCCTGGAAAAAGTCCACAAATGTTCCAGATTAGACCAAAAGATGACCCAGGATGGCAAGAACTGCCGAACAAAGAAGAGCAGCAAAGTAGCTCTCGTAGATTCTTTCTGTGATGTCTTCCATCATAAACATTAACGCCCTTTCTTGAATGGATCTTGGACCAAAGATCCCAAGAATGGATGTTGGACCAAAGATCACAAGAATGGATGTTGGACCAAAGATCACAAGAATGGATGTTGGACCAAAGATCAACCTGATGTCCTCCAGATGTTATTGGATTAGCTCCACGTTCGGCTTCATGGGCTGAAAATTATGGGAGTTATGGTTTGACCTGTCTGGTGGACATCAAGTTGGGAAAATCTGCCTTGGAAAATGGAGTTAGAAAGGAGAAGCTGGAGAATTTAGTGTAGTTTTTTCTATCAATCTGATTCCTTCTCAGGCCAGCCCCACAGTCAGAGAGGAAGCTACTGATGTTAAAAAAAAAAGTAAGGAATTGTGTGGTGGACATATTAACTATCAAAAATCTGGAGTTAATAGCCACAATGTACCTGGAGGACTGGTTGGGAATGGGTGACATACAACATGTTGCTAGTGTTTAGAAATTTAGCATGTGGAACTAATTGTGCAAAATACATTGAACCCGCTCTGTGCCTACCCCTCACCAGCGACCCCATCTTTTTCTGGCGTTTCTGCTGATTACCTGCCAGTTTTAACACTTCCAAGGCTGTAGTGGAAACAGTTCAGGCACTGATCAGCATTGGGACCATCGCATCCTTGGTCGCCACATTCCCTATGACACAGACCTTAGGGAGACAGACAGATCTGTTGAAAGAAGAGATATAAAACTCTTCCTACTTCAACCTACACAATGGCATCCAGCACTACATATCTGGAAAACCATGCCACGGTCTTGATGCCATCTCCCCACAAAACATCTGTGGCCTGAGTCATTTGCTTTACCCTACCTAATGACAGGGACAGCTGGGCTATGTGCTAATGCCCATAAAGGAGAATATTTGTAGCTCAGGGTTCAAATGTGGGGTCCTTGGTGCTCTCTGAGCTTTGTTGTTTTCTTCCAGACATTTCATTACCAAACTAGGGGACATCATCAGTGCTAGAAGGGAGTGGGGTTTGATGATGTTACCTAATGAAATGTCTGCAAGAAAACAACCAAGCTCAGAGACCACCAAGGACCCCCTTTATATGCTAATGCTTTATCATAGCTATAGCCTTTGGCTAACTTAATTGACAAGCTGCACAGCTCCAGCTAAGCTTTTTATTGACTTGGGTCTTGCAAAATAACATCAATAAGAGACCACAAAATTATGTGAACCCCTGTTAGGGTTTGGTCAATCTCCTGTGTCCTAATAGTATGACTGTATGGCAGTGGTGGTGAACCTATGGCACGGGTGCCAGAGGTGGCACTCAGAGCCCTCTCTGTGGGCACGCATGCCGTCGCCCCAGTCCTAGGCCTTCAGCTGGGTTTTATAAAACCTTTTCGCTTTAGGCCTCCGTCGCCGTGTGCCAAAAAAAAAAAAAGGTTCAGTCAATTTCAACTTCTTGCAGGAAAAAAAAAGATCTTGCAAAGTTGGAATTGATTGATTGAACTTTTTAGTCTCACCCAGTCTGCCGTTACCACCGCAGCCACGCCCACCCAATGGGCCACACCCACCCAATGGGCCACACCCACTCGACACTCGACAATGCATAAGTGGGTTTTGGGTTGCAGTTTGGGCACTCGGTCTCTAAAAGGTTCGCCATCACTGCTTTATGGTAACTATGAGGTTCTGTGTGCAACATGTCTGACTCCTAATGTGGAGAACTTTTCTTATGAGCCGACAGTGTTGACAATTCAGGATGAATGAATAAGGGTTTTCTGGTTATGGGACCTGAACCTATTCCTGCCCTTTTAAAAATCTGTTGCAGCTTTAGCTCCATTTCTTTTGCATCTCAAAGCTATTCTTCTCCTGCATTCTCCCCACTCACCTGCTGTTCTAGATGGAAGAAAGATCCATATCAATCTTCCTGCATGGAAGTTAAGAGTGAGCACTTATCTGTGCATGAAATGGGGCAAGCAGGAATCTCATCTTTGGTAAACAATAAAATGTATCTGAGCTGATCCAAGGATAAAAGTGGCTTGCTCTGTTGGATGCTTGGCATCCTCATTGCCATTGGCACCATCAACTGTGGACAAACCTGTGTCTTAGCTTTTTAAAGAATCTATTTATCTAAATATATCTATAGCAAAGAACCGAAGAAGGATTTTTTTTTTGCAGTAATAAGGTAGCTCAGTTAAATTTTATTGCTTGCCTTCCCACTGATTATCCATCTCATCAGTGTTTAAGGATGGATGAGGGATCTTCAGAATGAGCTAATCAAGATCTGGCCTGGTAGGGCTTGGTAGGATATCAGTAGGAATACTAAAAGATATACTAGACTGGGAATAATTTTTAAAAAAATCCCAGAAAAAAATTGATCAAACAACTTCTCTGTTATTGCAAAAAAAAAAAAAAATGATTTGGTTGTGTCTATGAGGTTCTGCGGACAGAATGGGACAACTCGCTGTGCTATGGTCAACTTATCACGGGACAACTCAACAATTCAATTCAATTATTTAAAAGAATTTTAAAAATACTTTAATTTTTGTCATTCACCTGTCATTTTGTTCTTCCTTTGACATCCTTTAATGATTCTATTTCACCATTTGTTGATATTAGTGCAACTCTTGTCTTGAGTCAAGTTGGCCACAGTGAGATGGCTGCGGCACGTTGGCCATGGCGAGTTGTCCTAGACCAGGGGTCTGCAACCTTGACAACTTTAAGACTGGTGGACTGAGGAATTCTGGGAGCTGAAGTCCAGAAGTCTTAAAGTTGTCAAGGTTGCAGACCCCTGTCCTAGACCCTCTGCAGACTTGAGCTAAACCTGAAGAATTAGCTTTTGAGAATCTTCTTAGCAAGTTGATGCTCTAGGCCAAAGATCCCCAACCTTTGGGGCACCAGGGATCGCTTGCGTGGAGAGAGGTTTTTCCACGGACTGGAGGGTACATGGTTTTGTGTTCTGCCTGCATCCCACAGATAGGGCTTTGCTTGTTTGTGCAGACTGGTTGCTGGCATCCCGCAGCCCGGTACTGGTCCAAGGACCGGGGGTTGGGGACTCCTGGTCTAGGCCTAGGGCTACTTCCATACCCTTCATGGCTGCCTCAGACAATTTTAGTGTGTTCTTCTCCGCAGAAGAAGAGCTCAATTTGCAATAGTGGTGAATATCTGTAGCTCAGGTGTAGGACAAGAGTGAAAGTTTGTTCTCCAAGCTTGGTGGTTTCACAAGACCTACTGACTACACGAAGCCCTTATAAACAGAAGAACATTGACCCTGACATCTCCTAAACTCCACTGAAGATGTTACCTAGCCTGGTAATAATGAAACGTTCGGAAACCAACTCACAAGCTCAAAGAACGAGCCTTCATCCTCAAGAGCTCAATTCTACAGGGACACCTTTGGATTAGGAAGGTCAGGAGACACTTGGACAGGCCAACGGTTCCATTGGAAAACCAAGGATCTGCCTCTGATCATCATTATGTATAGGGGTTGACAAGAAGACTGTCTTTCCTGGAACACACTGCCTCCAAGTTTCTCCTTGGAACAACATGAAAAATGCCATTGCATTTTGAGTTGGTTTTTTTTCTTCTCCATCTCTTTTTGCAGGATTGGGATACTGTCAACACACTAGTAGGCTTGTGTGTTTAGTGCTAGATTGATCACAACTCACACAGAGACAGTGGCTAATTTTCAGAAGACCCTTAATTACTTTGGCCCTGTCATGTGGTTCTATCATATAATGACATTTTACATCAGCTACAACGTTGTTTCCCAACAGTTGTGGTTTGATCATTTTCTTTGCCAGGGGGAAAATGGAAATAGTGTGCTTTGTATAAAAATGAAGGATGTTTGTTTGTTGGTTGGTTTGTTTTCTTTTTTAGCTGCTGTCTCCACTCTTCTGAACAAGGCAGCCACCAGAGAGACACAAGAAGGTGCTGTGCAGCTCCATCGTCTGACTCTGACTATCGGAAATCAACTTCAGATGTGCCTGTAATTCAAAAAGTCCTTCCCGTCCCTTTCCAAGCCTAACAATGCAGGCCCCCACAATGCGAGAACCTTTTTCCTACTTCCCTGTTGTTTAAATCAAAACCAAGTTTCTTGGAAATCTGAAAGGGATCTCATTTTATCCAAATTTGTATTTGTGGGGAGAAAGGGAATGCCCTGGTGCTGGTTTTAATTATTTTGTAAGAGAGACAACCTCTTGGAAATTCATAGAAGAGACTTTCCAAGCTTCGCTTTGTGGCTGATTGCTCAATCACGAAGTAAACATGCTCGGTGTTCCTAGACTGCCTGTTCTAGTTTTGCAAAGGAAAGAAACAATGGAGAGCTCCTTGTGCACAAGAAGCACAGCTAGAAAGAAGAAATAAAGGGTTGGGGGGCATTTTACCTGTATATTCGTCTTCTTCCTCTGGCATCTCCATCTGATTTTGGAAGAAAGCAACTTTTGAAGGCTCCATTTCCAAAGATGGCGGGTCCAGCATTGTTGACCTAAAGTGCTGGGTACTGACATTAGAGGAAGGATGCTCAGCCGTCCCATATAGAATGAGGCTCCATTCTTTCAACTTCCCTAGGAAAGATTAAAAGTTAATATTGTTTTCCTCCATGAGCAGTAATTTTGGCTGAGACATCCTCTCTGTTAGTGAATGAATAACCCATGAAAAGAGATGCAAGATGGTATAGGGTCAGAAGAACAAAACAACAGAGTTGGAAGGGATCTTGAAGGTCTTCTAATCTAATCCAACCCCTTGTTCAAACAGGAGACCCTCTACCATTCCAGACCAGTGGCTGTCCAGTCTATTTTTGAAAACCTCCAGTGTTGGAGCACTCACAACTTCTGGAGGCAAGTTGTTCCACTGCTTAATGGTTCTCGCTGTCAGGAAATGTCTCCTTAATTCCGGTTCTCTCCTTGATAAGTTTCCATCCATTACTTGTTCTACTTCGGAGAGTAGGTTGACCCCTATTTCCCTGTGACAGCCTTTTAATGCAAAGGAGTTATGTACGCATAAGGATCAGTCAACAAGTTCTTCGATATTTATTAAAGTCCATCTTTAGAGCTTTCCTGGAACCCTGGAGATAATAATAATAATAATAAAGTTGGAAGGGACCTTGGAGGTCATCTAGTCCAAACCCCTGCTCAGGCAGAAAACCCTACACCATTTCAGACAAATGGCTATCCAGTCTCTTCTTAAAAACTTCCAGTGTTGGAGCATTCACCACTTCTGGAGGCAGGTGGTTCCACTGGTTAATTGTTCTAACTGTCAGGAAGTTTCTCCTTAGTTCTAGGTTGCTTCTCTCCTTGATGAGTTTCCATCCGTTGCTTCTTGTCCTGCCTTCAGGCGCTTTGGAGAATAGCTTGACTCTTCAATACATGTAGTCCTGGCCTTACTTACTTACTTTTAGTGACTCTTTGAAATTACAACCGCACTGGAAAAAAAGTGATTTGCAACCAATGTACACACTTATTCTGTACTGGGCTGTTTGAAGAGCAGTTCTCTTCAGCAATTATATACATACAGATAGTTAGGAAATCTGTGACACCAGCAGCTGTTGAAAGGATCACTGTATAGAAAGAAGGCAAGTCTACTGTAATGCTCTCTACATGGGGCTTCCCTTGAGGAGCACCCGGAGGCTCCAGCTAGTCCAAAATGCGGCCGCGCGGGCGGTGTTGGGAGGGACTCGTCGCTCCCACGTAACACCACTGCTGCGCGAGCTGCATTGGCTGCCGGTGGCCTTCCGGGTGCGCTTCAAGGTGCTGACTATCATCTTTAAGGCGCTCCATGGCAGCGGACCAGGATACCTTCGAGACCGCCTTCTGCCACAGATTACCTCTCATCGGCCAGTACGCTCCCACAGGGTGGGTCTCCTCAGGGTGCCGTCGGCCAGACAGTGCCGGCTGGCGACCCCAAGGGGGAGGGCCTTCTCTGTGGGAGCTCCCACCCTCTGGAATGAGCTACCCCCAGAGATCAGGGTGNCAGAGATCAGGGTGATCCCTGATCTCCCTTCCTTCCGCCGCGCCCTCAAGACATGGCTATTCCAACAAGCGGGACTGGCCTAGGGCAATTTTTAAGAGGGGTTTTTAGAGGGGTTTTTAATCATATTTTAAATCAGACAATTTAAATATTTCATTTTAATTAATTTTAATTTTGTGATTGTTATTGGTGTTTTTAATTGATTGTCAGCCGCCCTGAGTACGCAAGGAGAAGGGCGGGATATAAATTCGAATAATAAATAAATAAAATAAATAAGTCATTTGGGAGATGATAAGTGGAGGTATCTCCATCACCACCATACAAATCCATGGGTCCTTACAAATGAGCTGCCTACATCAGTTGTACTTGGGATTCTGGGAGACATAATCCTATGGACTCTGAAAAATATCAGATTGGGAAAGGCTATGCTACAGGGGAATGAGAAATATATGCTCTTCAAAAGCCTCCAGGGCTCTATCCAGCTTTTCCACTTGTTCTGGTTTGCCCCCTTCTTCAATCTACTTCACCTTGTTTGCTTATACTTCTAGCTACCTGAGTGAACCACCGGCAAAGTTATGATTGTTCTGGATTTCAGCTCCTTTGGTGCCACTGCAAAACCCTGGCATAGTTTGCATGAAGCTAAGGGCAATTACACCTTTTAATTTCCACCGCCAAGATCTGGAAGTCCAGAAACAATTAAAAAAAAAATCCTACATTTCAACATAGCTTTTTTGCATCTGCCTGTCAGCACAAATTAGTTTGATGCTTTCTAATGGGATTTGTATTGGAGATATCTGTTGCTTTTTAGACTTTTGTAAAGACTGGGGGGGGGGCGAGGGGGGGATGCTTCTGAACATAATTTATAGTTCTGTTAGGGAAAGAGACCAGAAACCAGGCAGAAAGAAGACTCCATGGAGCAGTGAGGCCTTCTTCTCAAACACCAATTCATCACCAGTCATTACTGTCACTCTCAGAAAGACCGCAAGCTATAATAAAGGACAGTGACATAGAGCAGACATTTGCTTTGATAAATACAAAGTCTGTCCAGTACACAAATGCCTTTTTAAAATGTGCCAGAAAAAAAAATCTTCTTTTCTTTATTGAGTTCCAATACGTCAACAAATTTGAGGATAGGAGAGGAAAGGTTTTTAGGGTGACAGTCTTGTCACTATTGCCAATGAATCTCGCAAAACCAGAGGACGTTTTTACAAGCATTCCTTCTTGTCCCTTGATAATTGCTCCTTCTGGACACTAACCTAGACAGGTATAATAGCCAAGAACCTGTTGAACATGATGAGGGAAAAAATAAAGACTTCCTCTATGTCTGACTCTAGGGCAGACATGTCAAACTCGTGACGTTACGTGACATCGCGCAACGTATCAGAGCTTTTTCGCCATTGCCGGCAATGGGGTGGGTGTGGTTTCCTGATGATGCATCTGGCCCGCGGGCTGGCAGTTTGACACCCCTGGTCTAGGGAGTAGTGCTCATCTCCGTTTCTTAGCTGAGGGAGCCAGCACTGTCTGAAGATGCTTCCATGGTCATGTGGCCAGCATGGGTCTTCACCAAGGTACACAAAACACTGTTACCTTCCCACTAAAGTGGTACCTATTTATCTACTTGGATTTCCATGCTTGTGAACTGATAGGTGGAAAGGAGCTAACGGGAGCTCACCCCATCGTACTGTGCTCGGGTCTTGAACCCGGGCTGTCAGCTTTCCAGCTGACAAGCTCAACTTCTTTAACCTCTGAGCCATCACATTCCCCAAGATGAATGAGATCTTCTCATGAGAATGAGAATCCATTCATGAGAATTCTCTCCTTTTCTTCATTGTGAGAATTCTCACTCATTTATCCCTCAAATGACTCACTGAACCACTTCAACAAAGATATAATTAGGCATTTGTGGTTGAAAATCTCCATGGAAACTCTCTACTTGTTAGGGTAGGGGTCCTTCCTGGAATCTGGGCACCATGGAATTGGTGCTTCACCTCCTCTTGTCTTCAAAAAGAACTCAAGTGCAAGTCAACGTGGAACCAAGAAGAGATGGATTTCTTAGGAATCAGCTTGTAACTAACCTTTGGAAGCAATCAGCAGAAATCTTGGTATATATTAAGCAAGGAAGACAGAATTATGACTTGGCAGCAGGAACTGCAATGTGGTTGGTTTGGTTTCAGCTTAACTGAGCGTGACTCTAGCCACTGCAGAGCACAAACCACAATTTATGGCCAAGAGCGACATGTAAGCAAAGCCAATTGTAGCTCAGTTAGTCAGCTGTGATTGTACAAGTTATGGCTTGGCACAAAGTATGAATCCAGTCACTGTAAAAACACTGCAAATATTTTTACATGCTTACCTTGTAGGTCTGGGTTGCGAACATGATAGGGCTTATCCTGGATCTCCAGTGTCCATTCTCCAGCTGCCCTTTCACCCCAGCAGTGGACAGTCATGAATTCCCAGTGTTTGAAGCCTTCATTAGACTCATCATGCTGTCTGTTAATGAGATACCAGCATCAAGAGTTCATTCTCAAGGGAAGGGAAGGGAAGGGAAGGGAAGGGAAGGGAAGGGAAGGGAAGGAAAGGAAAGGAAAGGAAAGGAAAGGAAAGGAAAGGAAAGGAAAGGAAAGGAAAGGAAAGAACTGGCAGCTCTTGTGTTCCTTCCTAGACTAGGAAATAGCTATCATGTCTGCTTTTAACACAATTGTCCTAGTGAAGCTTTATCTAACCAAGCTTATGTGTTGTATATAAGAAGCTTAATCATAGTGGAAGAACTAGCCAACCGTATTTCAATGAATCATGTCCTCATTTCTTTATTTCCCAACAGTATCTAATTATGCTCCAAACTATATCTGAGGCTTAAGGGCCATTAAACTTATAACGTCAAGCTGGAAGTAAATTTTGGATTTCTATCTCATAAAGATATTCCTTATCCATGTGAGTTTCAATGTCTCTCTTGAATCACATTTTAGCGACTAAATAATTAGTTACCCCTTGGTATGAGAAGTGATATTTATGGGTAAAATACATTAAAATACAACACCAGCTTGCAACCGTCTTTTGCTTTTAAAATCTTCATAGAAGGTAATTCAGAGGAAACCACAAACAAGTCAACAATTTGAGGGACTGGACAGTAAATAAAATTAAATATAAATTCTCTGATAACTGGCTCAAGGAATATCTGTACCCTTGCCGTAGCAAACCCACCAACTAGCTCTGATGTAGGTATTATATTTATCATCTAACCAACTGCAGCCCTTCAAAGACCTCTTTTGTAGTCTGATTCTGAAACCAAGAAATAGTTTGAAATAATTTTCCATTTTGAGACCTACACTAGAAGTGCATTTGCAAAAGTTACATCTCCAGGGTTCAAACTGTTATTAATTTTAACAAAGCACAAAATACAAAAGTATATATAAAAAAGTCAAAGGTAAAATAAGGGGAGGAAAAAGGGGAAGAGAGAAAGGTGTAAGGGTAGAGGGAGGAAAGGGGAAAAAAAGCATAGATCTCTGACTCCTTTGGGTGCAGTCGAATAAGACAATAATATAAAACCTCAACTTTTCACTTTTGTATAATAGCGCGACATAATATCTCCAGAGGAAACCAACACAAAAATCCAAATGACAAAGTTTGGATGTTAAATTTTAAGGCAAGAATTCAAAACCAGAATGTGACTTTTCAAATGACCGATTTGGCCTCCGCCGTCTCATCCAACTGAATGACAAGCACGTGTTGTCCCCAAATGGCTGGCAAACACCTGTCATCAAAATTTGCAGCTGACAAAGTGAGCTGGAAAAGAGACATACATTTCAATTTTAATGCACGTGTGTGTGTGCTCCCAGCTTTCCTCAGCTGGTTCTTGCCAACACGCTGCCCAAAACAGCTTTAACTTCGCTTCGCTTCAACTCCGCTGCTGCCCAATGATTTGGATCAAAAGGGCATTGCTGCTTTGCGGATCAGCCAGCCCTGACTTGGCCAGGGAAACGGTATCCACCTTTTATATATATCCAAATTTCTTTTTCTGATATTGTAAAAAAGTAAAACTGCAGTATAGCAGTTAAAAATGTCAAGGTGTAATCAATCAGACCGGTCTGTCTGAAAAACTTCCTATATATATAGGAAGTTTCTCAGACAGACCGGTCTGATTGAGTACACCTTGACATTTTTAACTGCTATACTGCAGTTTTACTTTTTTACAATATCTTTTACCATGCAGCCCCCAGCTAGGGGCGTTAAGCAGGCTCAAGTCGCAACTGCGAAACATTTTAAATCCAAATTTCTTTTTCTGACAAAGAGTAAAGAATTAAATCGGGAGACTAAGATGGCCATTTCTAGCTTGTTCTGCTTTCATCAGTTAGCCATACCCTTTATGGGATTCGAACCTAGGCAGTTTTACATACTAGGCAGTGATTTAACCACCAAGCCACAGGCTCTCCTCCCCTCTTTTGCCAGCTGAGTCAAGGGAGTATATACAGGAGGTTTCTCAGACAGACTGGTCTGATTGAGTACACCTTGACATTTTTAACTGCTATACTGCAGTTGGCTTGGTGGTTAAATCACTGCCTAGTATGTAAAACTGCCCAGGTTTGAATCCCATAAATTTCATAACTGATGAAAGCAGAACAAGCTAGAAATGGCCATCTTAGTCTCCTGATTTAATTCTTTACTCTTTGTCAGAAAAAGAAAATCACCGAGTAGGAATATGAAAATGAAACGGAACAGCTGAAAGGGCAGTTACAAAGATATAATTATGCAAAAAGCTCATGGGTTGAAGGAGACCAATAATCAGAGGCTCCATAAAATGTGCTGGGGTAACTGGTAAGCTACAATTGAACTTTTCAGCTGGCTGGGTCCCTATGCACTGCGACGCTGTAAAGTGGCCTGCGTCTTTCTCGTTTAGCATAAAAGGTGAACAGCCCAATCATTACATATCATGTCACCCAAGTCCTCTCATCTCGCTGGGAGCTCAAAGAAGAAAAGGCTGAGATACAACTAGGATCCATCCAGGAAAACTAGATAAGGGTGGAACATTAGAGGGGAAAAAAAGATGGAAGATAAAGTCACTCCCTTAAAGCCTTTATCTCCCTATATCTACACTTGAGTCTTCAATAAAGCTGCTTGTTATATCAGTTGATGGCCAGCCCATGTAAAAAAAAACAGATACAGATACAGAATAATAGAGTTGGAAGGGACCTTGAAGGTCTTCTGGACCAACCCCTTGCGTTACTTCTGAGAAAGCCTCAAAGTTTGACCCAACGGAGGCCTAATCTAGAACGAAGATGCCTGTTATTTAAGGCAGCATTCATAGGAAATCTCTCTTCCTTTCAGATTATTTTCAGCAACTCACAAGCTCAGTGCCTTACTGGATCAAAGCCACGTTCTACAATTCTCCATCTTGTTCCCTTGACTGGCTCTTTGGACGACTCCAGTGGTAGCCTTGTGGCAAGAGTGGAAACTTGTCCATCCCACCCCAGGAGTTCCTTGGTGAAACAACAGAGCTATCCAACAATCCCAATTGTGTCGGGATCCCAATGGTGTTGTGGCCGAAATTCAGCGCCACTCACCTCCTTGCCAGCAACTGGGACTTGGTTCCAGAAGGAGATGTTAGGTATATTTGCAGATCTCCCCGCCGAGGATGCGCGATGGAAATTCGTACAACCACATGCTCCAAGTAGACCACGTGATGCTCTGAGTTGTCAGCACAGGCACTGGTTAGAGTCATAGTCCGGATTGTTTTATTGGCAGGGATGAACCTGTGTGATTGGAAATAACCAAAATAACGCATTAACAGAGGGATAGAATCAAGATCACATGAAGTATTAATACCACTTTATAACTCCTTGGGCAGACCACACTTGGAATACTGCATCCAGTTTTGGTCACCACGATATAAAAAAGATGCTGAGACTCTAGAAAGAGTACAGAGAAGAGCAACAAAGATGATTAGGGGACTGGAGGCTAAAACATATAAGGAACGGTTGCTGGAATTGGGTATGTCTAGTTTAACGAAGAGAAGGACGAGGGGGGACATGATAGCAGTCTTCCAATATCTCAGGGGCTGCCCCAAAGAAGAGGGAGTCAAGCTATTCTCCAAAGCACCAGAAGGCAGGACAAGAAACAATGGATGGAAACTAACCAAAGAGAGAAGCAACTTAGAACTAAAGAGAAACTTCCTGACAGTTAGAACAATTAACCAATGGAACAACCTGCCTCCAGAAGTTGTGAATGCTCAAACACTGGAAATTTTTAAGAAGAGACTGGACAGCCATTTGTCTGAAATGGTGTAGGGTTCCTGCCTGAGCAGGTGGTTGGACTCGATGATCTCCAAGGTCCCTTCCAACTTTATTATTATTATTATTATTATTATTATTATTATTATTATTATTATTATTGTTGTTGTTGTTGTTGTTGTTGTTGTTGTTGTTGTATCTCAAAAGCAGTAGAATCCACACGGGAAAGACTTGCTTCAAAAGGCATGCCAAAAAGCAATTCTCAAGGTTAACTCAAATCCAGCTCCTCTCGATTCAGAGAAATATAAGGTGTAAACCATCCCAACCATTTCCAAGTCATCCAAGGGTACCAAGCACCCCAATCCTGTCTGTGGCTCCCGAGAGTCGCTGTCACTCGCCGTGGAACAAATTGAGCCAGATTAAACCAATGGCATGATTTAGCACAGGGCAGCTTCCAACATTAATCCTACAACTGTTTCTAATTGTTTTTCTTTAGAAGAAAGGGACAATCAACAGCATTCTGGGTTCTCTTTCAAGTGGAGAGTTCCGCGCTTTTGGGGGGGGACATTGATTCTGCTGTATTGCCACCAGCAATAAATCAACTCCTCACTTGGAATCCAAAAACATATTGCTAATGTCTAATTTACAGGGAGAGCTCTGCTCATTGGTTCCAGATTTGCTCTATGGATAGGCTTTTGAGCATCTGGTGAAGGACTCTCTCGAGGATTATGTTACTTTGGCTTACTCATAAAGGGAGAGTCTATGAAAACCATAAGCCGTGACGTCATTTCTTGGAGAGAAAAAGGTCTTTGTCAGTGAACTTCACAACATTACTTGCATGCAGCATGATTTCATTTTCTAAAGGCTGTTCTGCTCAGTTGTCTTCAACGTGCAGTTGAAGCAGTCACCAGCGCCAATGCGCTGATGCCAAAGAGAGGACTAAAGGGCAAAGAAGTCAAGGTTTTCTAGGAAATCCAATCCTATGGCCTGGTGGTATTTGCGTTGAGATACCAGGTGACTTTTTGACTTGTTCCTATCAGTTCGTTGAAGAAGACAGAAGGGTTTTTTTTTCCAGACATGACAAACAATAATAGCTTAACTCTGTGATTCGATGTGCTAAGATTAACTATGGTTTATTCATCAATACTGTTGGCATATTAAGCCAGCCTTAACCAAATGCAGCTAGATCAGGTATTTCCAGTAATCCCCAGCGACACAGAAATGTTTAAGACCTTTGAAAATACTCACTGAAAAGTGCACAGATTGGAGAAGGCTACCTTAAGTCCAAAACAGCTGCTTAACATCTGTGCATTATATACAGTCCCAGCCAGTCTTTTAAATGGAAAGCTGGAGATACAATGCAACTCACCGGATAGCATGCTGTCTGCAATAAAAGCCAGCTCAGCTGTGAATGTGAAAGAAATACCGATCTACCTTCCTTTGCTCGAAGGAATGGAGAAATTCAAGCAAAATGTTCTGTGTACAGATGGGAACTCTCATATCTAACTTTCCTGGCTTCCACTAAGTTGGCAAGCTCAGTTCAAAGTGGTGCCCTCATTTTCTTCTAGGGTATTTGAATTCAGCTGCATACATCCACTCTGATTTGCAAATGGTGTTGGAGACACTGATTGGGGTGCGACAACAAACTACACGGGGTCATTCATATACAGAATATAAGAGGTGGTATCAAAGGCGCTTTTGACATTTTGATGGTATACTGAAGTCTCCCTTTTCAGATTATTGCAACGGTGCTATTCTTAATGAGGATTTTTTTTTTTATGCTAACTTCATTATGACTGCATACATCTTAGGACTCCAATCTAGTTGTCTTCTGTTCTTAGTACAGAAAGAATCTAGAAAGAGTGCAGAGAAGAGCAACAAAGATGATTAGGGGACTGGAGGCTAAAACCTATAAAGAACGGTTACTGGAATTGGGTAGGTCAAGTTTAATGAAAAGAAGGACTCGGGTGATATGATAGCAATGTTCCAATATATAAGGAGCTGTCACAAAGAAGAGGGGGGGGTCAACCTATTCTCCAAAGCACCTGAAGGCAGGACAAGAAACAATGGATGGAAACTAATCAAGGAGAGAAGCAACCTAGAACTAAGAAGAAATTTCCTGACAGTTAGAACAATTAATCAGTGGAACGACTTGCCTCCAGAAGTTGTGGATGCTTCAACACTGGAAGTTTTTAAGAGAAGACTGGACAACGATTTGTCTGAAATGGTATAGAGTTTCCTGCCTGAGCAGGGGGTTGGACTAGAAGACCTCCAAGATCCCTTCCAACTCTGTTATTCTGTTTTGAGTTTTGTAACCATTTCCCCATGTGTGATGGATTGAGGGGGGGGAAAACAAAATACCTTTTAAAAAACAGCATATGAAAATTAAAAGTATTAGAAGGACAAAAGAAAATTAAGAGCCAAGGCCAAACACAGACATCATGGTTGCCACTGGATGCTAGCAGAAATGGGGAAACCATATCCTTTTATTGAATGCTCCCAATTGTTTGGAAGCCTTGCTTCAGTTCCTTAGATGGAGCTGAGCAACTGCTAGGGGAGAGCGACCAAGCTCAGATCATAAATCACAGGGAACACCATGAAAGCCAGGTGAAGGATGACCTGGACAGACTTCCTTGATCAAAGGAAAGCCAATTCTTTGCTGGCTTCCTATCAGATTGCTACATAAGCTGGCAGGAGACATTTCTGTGCCATTTGGTTCTAGGTGAGCAGCTCCCATGGCCCAAATAAAAGACTGGATCTTATGCCGGTAAAATGAACAGCTGAGCAAAGGATAAGCACTCAGTAAGTTAGAGGGCAAAGAATGAATTTAAGAAGCAGGCTCATATAAGCCATTGGTCCAGTTACCTCCAGTCTAAATTGAGCCCTGTGCTCTTTAGAAGGCCAGATCTTGAAGTTGAAACTCAAGTACTTTGGCCACCTAATGAGAAGGAAGGACTCACTGGAGAAGAGCCTAATGCTGGGAAAGATTGAGGGCAAGAGAAGAAGGGGACGACAGAGAATGAGGTGGCTGGATGGAGTCACTGAAGCAGGAGGCGTGAGCTTAAATGGACCCCAGAAGATGGTAGAGGACAGGAAGGCCTGGAGGAACGTTGTCCATGGGGTCGCGGTGGGCCGCAACTGACAACAACAATGCCACCTTATTTTCCCATGCCTCTATAGAAGACTCTACCCATCTGAGTCCAATCATCTAAAGAAGATGGCTAAGTAATCAATGTAGCCGGCACCCCACCCAAATGCCTAAAGGGCACGGATGGACTGAATTGACAACTCTGGCAACTGCACAGCTGCACAAATTGGAAGCATTCAAGGAAGGGGAACAATTGTGGAAGGGAAACTTGATGACGAAGAGAACTAATACTGTCTCCTGATGAACCATGAAACTAGAGGCAGGTGTGGCGTGTTACAAATGTCCCGGGGGTTGAAATCTGGGACTTGTTCCTTCCAACTTCTCCAAAACATCACATGTCAAATCAGAGGTCAAATGTAAATTGCTGAAGTCATTTACTTAATAATATGTTGCACAGCATGTGTGTGTATGTGCATATAGTCCTATAGCTGCTCCGGGAATACAAATCAATATCAAATATTTAGATGGCAAGCATGTATTCATTTTAATTTCTTTCCTCTTTTCTATTCCCGTGTCGACGTATACCCTGCACCACGCGAAGCAATTCTTGCCTCTTTATAAATAAGGAACTGTTATCAAATGTTTACTATCCGTTTAGTTTTTCCCCTTTTCCAAGAGGTCATGGTCCTTTCTTACTTGCACATTCACAACACTTCTGCTATGAAGTAGCGTAGACTTAGTGGGTGAAATTGATCCAAAGTCTCATGGCCACGAAGGCATCCAGCATAAGTATGTTCACTGCACTGATTCTAAAACAGGCAGTGGAAGTAATTTATGCAGTTCTGATGCAAAACTGAAGCCCTGTTTGGCTACATCTAATAACTCAATATTTTCCTTTGTAATGCATCCTCACCCCAGAACAGGAGGAGAAGAATTATTTGTACGTGCATGGAATTACGAGCAAGGCTAAAGTGAATTAATTTTCAGCCATCTCTGGGTTCAGAAAAAGTTTTGCAATTAGAACTTCTTGTCATCAGAAAAGCCACACCAAACTAAATCAGGAGAAAAGAAACAACAACAACAACAACAACAGCAGCAGCAACAGAAGGGCTTGGAAGAGTTCGAGAAGGTTTAGGGACATGTCTGTGTGTGTAGCCTTCCAAGAAACAAATTAAAGCAGGGGTCTTCAAACTTGGCCCTTTTATGACTTGTGGACTTCAGCTCCCAGAATTCCTCAACCAGGCACGCTGGCTGAGGAATTCTGGGAGCTGAAGTCCACAAGTCATCAAAGGGCCAAGTTTGAAGACCCCTGAGTTAAAGCAACCTCATAAAGCAGTCCCGTGCCCAGGCAATTATAGAGGCTACATTTGAGCTAAAAACAAAAAGGACCTCCTTAAAATCCCACAAAGGTGTGGGGCGTTTCATTTCTTGCTAGTATGTTTCCAGCCTGCTTGATCCAGGTGTGCATTTAAAAGGGCCTGCAATTTTCCCAGGTCATGTCAATTTCATTACTGACAACTGAGACCTGCATGCAAAACACTACAAGATAAACGTGCTTAGTGCAGGTTTATGTTTATTTCACACCCTGCTTCCTCTCCTCTCTCTCTTTTTTGTCTCACCTTTCCATTACTCGGGTTTATGCTTTCAATTTACAGCCGGTCACAATGTGATCTACAGTTTGACATGGGGCTCCATAGTCACACTGAGGGCAGGATGCTATGCCCCTTGGCACTGACACAATGGCAAATAATCAAAGAGTCAATCCATCCAGATGTGAGTGCTCTCACGACACTCACCAAGGTCTCTTATTTGAGGTTCCCACGCAGATGTGTTGGGCAGGAACCGTCTTCCATCTCTTTGCTTCCATAACCAGAGATTCTGCATCTACCAGGCCAAATCCATACAAATGGCTAACTGGAAAGAGAAAGTGTCTCAGAGATTCACTGGTTTATTGAAAAAAAAACCACAATTATTTTTCACAGTTTTGTAAAGAAAGGATTCCATCTGCAAATATGAAAGAGCTTTGCGCGGCTCTTTTAGCGAATCTCTTCCTATAGATGTTCTATTTGATCCTTTCCCTTTTCTATCCCGATTTTCCATATCATTTTGGTTTCAAGGTTTTTCTTTCTTCTCCACATGCAATAATCTTTATTTGTACAATATCTCAACCCCTGACAAGTCATGTTGTCAAACAGTAAAGGGGGAAAAAAAACCATCCTGAATATTTAATATTCAGCCCACACCCCAAAGATGTTAATGTATTATAATTCCAGCATCTTTAGTTAGCCTGGCCAATGGAAATATAGTTCAACAATATCTAAAGGACCTCAGATTTGCCACCTCTGTACAAAACAAATTGGATTTCTCTCTCTCTCTCTCTCTCTCTCTCTCTCTCTCTCTCTCTCTCTCTCTCTCTCTCTCTCTCATTTGCAGTCACAGCCAAGTTTTAAAATATATATTGTGTATGTGATGCCAGGGTGACTCATAATTTGGGATGTTGTTATTGTTTTTTCTGGACAGCTGTGCTGACTACTATCATTTATTCTGCATGTTCATATACTAAATTAAATGAGTCAGCAATTCCTAAACAGGTCTCAACTAGATATGCTGGAACTCCACCTCCTTAAATTCTCTGCCAAAGCTAAATACCAGTGGTGAAAGTGTTTTATTTTATTTTTTTATTTATTTAACATGGATTTATATGCCGCCCTAGAAGGAGAGAAATCCAGGTTTTAAACCACTCTTAACCACAGAAACTCATTGGATGACTTTGGGCCAATCCCAGGCCATCAACTCAACAGCCAGTTTGGTGTAACGGTGAAGGTGCTAGACTAGGTGTAGTGAAACCAAGTTCTAGTCCACCTTCAGCTACAGAGAGCAGGACACTTGGCTTGTCCTTCTCTCTTAGGTCAACCTACTTCTCAGGACTGTGGTGGTGAGGCAAAAGCAGCTCTTACACTGTGCTTAGATACTTAACAAATAATTATAAACTTTCCACGTTGAAAAGACTATGCTGAGCTAGAAATTCTAGGAATTATCATGAATCTGAAGAACACCAGTTTGGAGGAAAGTAAAATAGCATAATAATAACCTGAACGGGGTCGATTCCAGTGTTGGGATTCAGCCGGTTCTCATCACTTCGGCAGAACCAGTAGCTAATTTTTTGTTGCCCAGGCCCAGAATGGACTTCCGGAAGTGGCCTCCACACAGAGAACCGGTTGTTCACATGTTTGAATCCCACCACTGGTCGATTCTGTTGTTTAAAGTGAACTCATATGTCTTGCTTTGGTCATGTTTCTTTATGTTAAAGATAAACAAATGTCCCCCCCCCAAAAAAAATCTGGATTGCAAGGGTGACTCCAAGATATAATTTTATCATATTTTACCTATATTTTAAATTACTGTACTCTATTTTAATTTCATTTTAGACTGTATTTTACTCCAATTTCATTTTAAGTTGTATTTTACTCTAGTTCCATTTTAAACTGTATTTTATCAAATTTCATTTTAAATTGCTTTTATCAAACTTTAGTAATAATTTGTTGCTGGAACTTTGCACTTTGATATGGCCCAAGGGCTAATCAATAAAGATTTATTATTATTACAGCATACTGTAGCACAATCGTGCCTACTGTATCCATTAGAAAATGTTTGCAAAGTTCGTTCCTGGGCATCCATAACCCAACTCCCTATCTGCATAGGCACATCTGCTTCCATTTGTCGTAGAAAAACTCCAAGAGCAACTGGCTATTCGTGTTCAGAAGCCTGCAATAGTTTTACTAAAGGATTACTGTAAAGTCGCTGAAAATAAACACAGAAGGTAATTTTGACAAGGGCTTATTCTGAACCTGGACAATGTCAAGGTTCCAGCAAAAACTAAAGCTAAGAAAAACAAAAAGGGATGTGGGGGGGAAAGCAGAGGAATTTCTCAGATCAAGTTAGAGAAATCAATTCGGAAAAAGTTAATCTGTTTCCGAATGCTATTTTTGCCTGAGAGTTTTGCCTGCTGAAACGGACGGGTGCTTGTAAATATCCCCCGATTAAAGCTTGGCTCTAAGCGGATTAGCAGTCCTCAGAAGGATGAAGGATCTTGGTAGGTCTACAACACATCACGGGCGTGCAAGACCTCTGGCTGCAAGAACCCTACAGGGATTCTGATTTGGCCTTCTAATTCCGGAAAACACCAGTGGGGTTAGGGAGGAGCGGAGTGGTTTTCTAATCAGAAGCCTCCAAGGAATTGGCGAATCCGATCCTGAGATTTAGGGTGAAATACAAATGAGTCAACGCGCTGTAACCGCTGGGGAATAAAAACGGAGTTTGTTCCACCAGCTCAACTCTCTCATCGGAAACGCACTTGACTCCATGATGCTCCTTTTGCACAGAGCTGCAACAGTAAAAACGTTTGCAGTTTCTTCAGCTGGCTTTGAACCACGTAGAGACCCCTCAAAAGCTTTCGTTACAGCCTCCTCGCCCCCCCAAAAAAGTTCCCACCAAATGGTAATTTCTAAAGTCACGGAGGGAAATCTTATTAAATACCCACAGAGCGTAGTCGGACTAATGACATGTTTTACATTGAGTGTAATTGTATTTAAATGTATGTTTACGGTTAATTATCTGTCATTCTGTTTTTGTCCCGACCGCAAAGATTTTTGGAATTGAGCACCCTTACTTTAAAGAGTCACGACAAATAAGAAGCAACATATTCTCTGTTGTGGTGCCTGCCTTCTGGAATAAGGTTCCCCCCAAATCCAGATGACTCCCACCCTGTTGACATTCCAGAAGTCCTAAAAGACCTGGCTGTCCTCCCAGACTTTGGGGTAGATTGGATGGAACCCCATTGTTAGAAATGTTTCTCATGTGTCAAATGTGTTTGGATAGAGTAGTCTGGATTTGCCATGTTGCTTATTCTCATGTGTTTCTATTTTGGTTTGTGTTGTATTTGTGTTGCTTTTTATAATGTAAGCCCATCCTGCAGTCACGGACACTGAAGTTAAAGTAAATTAATATATATATATATATTAATTCAGTAGTTTTTCTACTACCTTTCCTTTTGTCGTTCTTCCTGATAAGATAGGTACAGCAATGGAGCAGTCAACTTGCAGAAGTTGTGTTTTCTCCATTTTGGAACTTTGTAAAAAGAGATTAGACAGCCAACTCTCATGGATGGTTTAATTTTCTTTCTCCTTGAAGGAGGTTTGACTAGAAGACCTTCAATGTCCCTTCCAGCATATGAGTCTATGTTTTAAAGCGATGAAGCTGGAAATCGGTATGATTGCTTCCAGCTCTACAATTTTTGTAATTCCATGTCTCTAAACCACTGAGGGATGTTTACATTGATTGTAAACATGCGTGTTTTTGAAGAAATGGGGGAAAAATATCTCCTCAAACTGTTTCACAATAAATCCTGCTTTGGGTTTATTGTTCCTATTTCTAAAGACATGTCAGAAACCAAACAGATTCCTGTTATTAATAGCCAGGCTTGTTCCTACAAAACCCTGGGAAATTAGAATACCTCTTTTCAGGGCTGTTTTGGTCATAGAACAAAAAAGTGCATGGATGCCACTTCCGGAAGTCGGTTCTAGGTGTCGAAGGCCTGGTGGAGGCTTCCCAGGCCTAGAAGAAGCCCATTGGAAGTGCATGGATGCCACTTCCGGAAGTCCGTTCTAGGTCTGGGAGGCCTGGAGGCAGCCTCCCAGCCCTAGAACAGTCTGCTGGAAGTGCATGGATGCCACTTCCGGAGGTCCGTTCTAGGCCTGCATCCAATAAGAGAACCGGTTGTTCAGGTATTTGAATCCCACCACTGGCTAGATATACAGGTAGTCCTTGACTTACGACCACAACTGAGCCCAACTTTTTTGTTGGTAAGTGAAACACTTGTTAAGCAATCTTTGCCCCATTTTACAACCTTTCTTGCCACTGTTGTTAAGTGAATCACCACAGCTGTTAAGTCAGTAACATGGTTGTTAAGTGAATCCGGCTTCCCCATTGACCTTGCTCATCAGAAGGTCTCAAAAGGGGATCACATGACCCTGGGACACTGCAACCATCGTAAGTACGAGTCAGTTGCCAAGCATCCAAATTTTGTTCATGTGACCACGGGGATGCTGCAACGGTCGTAAAGGTGAAAAACGGTCATAAGTCACTTTTTCAGTGCCATTGTAACTTTGGAATGGTCATTAAATGAACTGTTGTATGTTGTATGTGTGAGTAGTAGCTACGTCCTCAAGTATTTATTCTGATTCTCTCTTTTGACTTTGAGGTGGGGAAGGGTCCTGTTTTAGATTTAACTTTTTTAAAAAAGTTCTTGTCCTCTTTCTTTTCTTTCTTCAGTGGAAAACCAACCCACCCATCCATCAAAGCAAAGCAAATAGAGATCATGGCCCCACCCTAGTGAGCCACCATTGTGTGCTATGTGGTTAGAATTCCTTTTCTGTAAAAAAAAGTAGTTTAATAAGTCCATCGCGGGGGGGAAGATCAGGGCAGCTGTGCTGAAATAGCTAGCTGGGAAGTCTTTTCGCTTAAAGAAAAAAAATATATATCCCTGTGTGTTCCTGGCCTCAGGGAAGCCAAAACAGCCCCCCCCACACTCCAGGAGGGCTATTAGGAGCTTTGGGAACAACAGTGGGGTTCGATGGTCCTTCAATATTTTCTTTTATGGTATAAGAATACGGTCCTGCGTCGTGCGAATTAATCAAACTGCTTTTCAACTTCATTTCCTTCCCCGTCTCCTGTGATTTCCTTAAGAAACGCACAGCTATGTGCTTTCCGCTCCTATGCCTCCTCCCTTCATATAAATACTGCAATTCATTTATCACTTCTGACAATTTATAGCCCACCTTTCCTTCAGGAGATAAAGGTAGCCCTCCTTGCCTTGGATATATTTTTTTTTTCAGAACAACCCAGTGGTGAGATTCAGCCAGTTCGCACCAGTTCGGCAGAACCGTTAGCTAATTTTTTGTTGCCCAGGCCCAGAATGGACGTCCGGAAATAGCATCCACACAGAGAATCGGTCGTTCCCCTATTTGAATCCCACCACTGGAACAACCTGTCAGATGGGTTGTGTTGAGGCCGAGTGAGGATTCAGAATCACCCAGGGAAATTTCTGGGGTTAGATTAGAAGATGAGTTTCCCTTCATCACTATATAGTCTCAACTTATGACCGGAATCTTTGCTGCTAAGCAAAGTGGGTCATGCCTATTTTTACGACCTTTTTTTGTCATGTTGTGGAAGCGAATCACTGGAACTCTTGGGTGTATCGTAGGGTGGTTAAGCAAATATGGCTTCCCCCCATTGGCTTTGCTTGTCAGAAGACAGCTGGTAAGTTCGTAAATGGTGATCACGTGACCCTGGGATGCTGAACTGGTTGCCAAGCGCTATCACGTGACTGTGAGGATGCTGTGACAAGAATCGGTTGTACCTTACTTTTTTTTCAGTGCCACCGAAAGGTAGTCCAATCCCTGGATCAAAGCAGGATACCCTACCTGGGGTGGGGAACCTTGGCTGCTTTATGACTTGTGGACTTCAGCTCGCAGAATTGAAGTTCCACAAGTCATAAAAGAGCCAAGATTCCCCACTCCCAGCATTCCTGAGCCAGCCATGTTGGCTCAGGAATTCTGGGAGTTGACGTCCACAAGTCATAAAAGAGCCAAGGTTCCCCATCCCTGCCCTATACCATTCAGGATAATGGTTGTCCAGTCTCTTCTTGAAAATTTCCAGTGATGGAGTATCCACATCTCTGGGAGGCAAGCTATTCCGCTGATTAATTCTCAGGAAATTCCTCCTTAGTTCCGGCTTGGGTCTTCCTCTGAGGAGCTTCCCTCCTCATCGCTTCTTGTCCTGCCCTCAGGTGTTATGGGGAATAAATCAACTCCCTCTTCCCCATGGCAACCCTTCAAAGACTGGACGATGTTATCTTGGCTGCCCTAGGCCTTCTCCTTGTAGGCTAAGCACGCCTAATTCCTACGGATTTCCTTTCAAGAGCGGAATAAACATTGCCTTCCCTTTTTGCTAAAGGAAACCAAACTCCATCCAACCCACAATCTATCCGAAATCTCACCTCGCCATCCAGCTCCATTTGTTTTCCAGTCAGGAGCCAAGAGGTGGACCGGCCGGGATGTTTTCACAAGCAGATGCTGCACATCTCGCCATGTCAGCAAAGGGCTAAAAAAGCACACCAAAAAAAAAAAAAAAAAAAA